AGGAGGTCACGGGGGAGCAGAAGTCGTTCGGTTTGCTGTTGTCAAAGACGCGCTTGAGGGCGGCCTTGGAGCGGGGCCCCTCCCCCTCCCCGGGCTCATTCGGGGTGAGCTCCCACAGACGAAGGTAGTCCGCGGTCGTGATGAGGAACTCCCCGCTCATTCGCTTCGGGTTGAACATCGTCTTCGTCGGGGGGTAGCAGTGCTCCCAGCTCGCCCGACAGACTAACCGCCCATCCACATCCTTCTCCACCACGTCAACGTAGTTTTTGTAGCTTTGGATGTAGGAGGAGACGGCAAAGCAGAAGGGGACGTCATCGCTCGGGGACCAGGAAAGCCCATTCGCGACCCAACTTGTGGCATAGGACAAATTGCTCTCCTCGTGTTTTTCACTACACCGCTCAGTGCTAGCCATCTGCTGTTGTTATTTTTGGTATTCAGATATTTAAAATAGTTAATACACGTGTAGATCTTTATAGGTCTATCTATCTTTCCATAAAGATAGATATAGAGACAGGTATACGTAATCTAGGATCTATAAACGAACCGATAAATGCAACTACATTCAAATCTACGCTTACAGCACAATAATAATGGTTCAAATGATAAAAAAAGCTTGAAATTAAACCACACCAGTATAAACTCAAAAGAGCAAAGGAAGAAGGAGAGACGAATGAATAACAAGAGAATCAGAAAACAGAAACATAAATTCTGAATCGCGAAGAAGGGAGCAAACCCTCTTTACACTAAAAGTGCCAGGCATATGTAGCATCGAGTGGGCTACGTGGACAACTTATTATATAAAGCATCACTATAAACATCAATAGGTACAAAAAACATTGTCACCAAAGTCTAGATTATATTCTCTTTTTGTTATCCATACTCCTTAGTATAATCTTTCTTTCTTTTTTTACGATTGCTGAACTTGAGAAAGTTCACTCATTTTTCTCTTTAGAGACTCCACTTCAGCACGTAGGCGCACGTTCTCTTGCTGTAAGGCTTCATAATCTGCCACCGAAGCCCCTCCCAAAACTTTCTTTATGTATTCCACCGGATCCTCTGGCTTTTCGGGTTCCTCATAAAGGTTAACGAGCACTCGAGTTAGAGCATCAATAACTTGATTAGACTCCAAATATTTGCGGAACTCTTCCTTTTTAGCCTCACTGGAGCGATATGACATGTTTGACGTAAGCTTTGTTTATCTTTGGTTATAAATACTATCTGTTAAGTATAAATATATGTATATACATATATTTAGCGAATTACTGATGTTAGAGGTAGAAAAATTGATGATCATGATAGTTGCCGACTAATAACAATAACAATAAATTATCAGTGCTAATAATATAAATATAAATAGGCATATTTATCGATAAATAGTTGAGGATTTTTTTTTAGATGTGGCTCATACTAATTTTGTAACTTCACATTTGGAAGCAAGTGTGTCTACTTCGCAGTTGACTTGTGATAAACGTACTGGCGCTTCTTTTGTTAAGTTACCATATCGAAATCATCACGCCCACCTGGAATTCATTCGCGCCTCTGGTGAATAACTGCCAACAAAGTGCTTCCAGATATTTCATGATGGATGCAGATTGATTAAGCATGGTAGTCAAGGAAACACGCAAACTAAAAATTGAGAGTCGATTTTGAGTCCATGATATGTTAGAAAATGTGATATAAGATAGTTAGTGTAGAAAAGTGTATGAACATTGCTATATATTTATATGAAAAAGAGAGCAGCAAAGCACAACAAAAGAAACAATGAGCCGAAGCTCTCTACTTCATAATGTATAAATATATCAATATCATCTTTCACTTTCTTCAACTAGTAATGAACTTTTCTAATCGTTCTTTTGTGTTTTCTTTCTGGCGATGAGCTTTTCCTGTGTAGAGAGCATCAGGGGGCCTACCTTTCTGCGGGATTGCAAGCATAAATACACCAATAACACCCCGACAAGAACAATATGAATAGCTACTAGGATCTCGGTAAAAACGATTGCCATTGAATTTGTTTTTTCCGAAGACATGTGGAAATTCTACCGAGCGAGAATGAATAATGTTTGTGTTGTTGTAAACATATATATTTTAACTAATTTATATTATAAAAAAAAAGAAAAGTTATATAGTGACAAAAAAGAATGGTTAAAATCGCAAACGTCGGTACACTTAGCAATGGAAACTATAACGCATGAAAATATAGAATGAAAATCTAATTAAGTATTAAATAACCCAAAAAGGCTTAACCGATGAAATTAATCGGAACAAAGTCCTTGGAGGCGTTCTTGCGAGAGAATTTCATTAAGCAGAGATTTATGGACCTGTGGAATTATACAGCCCCCTAATACCTAAATTTGCTTACTTATCCCCATCGCGGCGATTCCCTTCCCCTTATGGAAAGGTTCCTGTGCTCAAGGCTCACCAAACAGATTTTAGACGCGTCTATACACTGCAAAATGATGTTTTAAGCCCTTCCGTTGTGTTCGTTGGCCATCCTCACTAGTTTTTATCGCAATGTTAAGGATTCGCTGCGATTCATCGTCGCTAAGCTCCTCATCGGATAGACGTTTGAGCAGTGGGCAGGCATCTAGGCACTCCACCATCCATGCCTCCAGTTCCTCCACGTCGGAGACGGTGTATAACAACCCCCCACTCCTCAGCCAATAGCAGTATTCATGCACCAACCCGGGAGAAATAATTCGCCGACGAATGTTATTCCTTTTCCAGTGTGGATCAGGATAGCAAAAGAACAGCTTACTGAGCTGGCCTTTCGTAAAGCAGTTTGAACCAAACTTCATCACGTTGAGTTGCTCAAACCATACGTTGCGAAAGTGATGTGTGGCATCTTTGGAAGTCCGAAGGGTTTCCGTTTTCTGCTGTGCAAATTCCGCCACCTTCGTGCGAATCTCCAGCCCTAACATACAAACCTCCGGGAAGAGCGTGGAGAGTTCAAAGAGCATTCCCCCAAACGCACATCCAACGTCAACAAACTCCACCACAGGATTCGGCATGTTGGGGAAGAATTTCGGAAAGTTTTCCTGAAAGGAAATAGGGTTGTCAGGGTGGCTGTCGTCATTCTCAGCGAAGGGATTGCGATGCGGCCGTGCGCGAATCGGAAGACGTGTCCACTTCTGCTTCACTTCCATTATATAGTGATGCTAACAAACCTAGGCTACAGGAAAAAAAAGAAACTCGATATGAATAAAAAATATAGATACCATCTGAACCTTTCAAGTAGGTCTTGTACATACAGTAAAGAGTATATGTATGTATCTTTTTTGAGTGTATTTTTTTCACTGTACTAAAAGATACAGCCGATACAACTACTGTATAGCAATTGTGTAACAGGCACAAACTGGATAAATATGTATATTTGTATATTCAAAAGAATTTCCCTCCCTCTCCAGACACACACCTACTTTCCTGCTGGTTCGAGCTAAAAGCAACTTCGTCCATTCCTGAGGCCTCAATACGGTTTGGTAGTGTTTCATTATTACACCAGTTTGATAAGGTGCACAAAAGTCACATCATGAATAATGATTCATATTTTTTTAAAAAAGTGCTTCTTTTTAATGGGTTTTTAGACCTTTTTCCATTGGCTCTCCATTTCTTCCTTTTACTCTCATGAGAGGCAGATAAATACTTCCCAAGTCAGAATATCGTCATGGAAAAGCTCCCGAAAAGCATTCCAGAATCATTGAAGAAAGCTTCAAATGGATTTTCTCATTTCAACCTCAACGCCCCTCAGCAAGCCTTATGCATTTTCTATATTCCCCCTCAAAGGCGGATGCTCTGCTAATCGGTCCTTTCCTCCGGCTAATCACATTTTCTTCCCTGCTGGAAGAAGAAAAGGAAGAATAGGGGCGTCCTCCCACAAATGGACCTCGCAAGGCCTCCATCACCTCCCTCATGTGCTCCGGATAGCGCTCGACGACCTCAACCGACTCCACGTGATGTGTAAAAGTGGCATCTTCGTCGTTGTCGTTGTCACCGTCGCCGCTACTATGAGGATTTTCATTTTCATGAGGACCACTTCCCTCTGCGTGATTCGTCGAGGCTACTGTCCCGAGAAGCCGCGAGGCAGATGTGTCGTTGTCTGGTGTCTGGAGCGCCTTCTTCGGTAGTGGGTCCAACGTAATCCTGCCGAGATTACCAGCCTGAAAGTCGTAGAGCAAAAACCGATGCGCGCGGGCCGCGTCGAGGTTGCCGAGCTCGCTTTGCCCGCTCGACCCGCTTCGCTCGCAAATGAGCGATATGCAGTCGTCGAAGCTGATCGGGGGGCGGGAGAGGTGGAGGCACTCAGCAAGGTGCTCCCGCATCCCTGCCGTTAGAAGAATGTCATAGATATACCGCGCAACCACCCCGCAGGGGAGCGAAAGGTTGTTTGTCGGAATAATCCCACAGGCAGCAAGCCGCAGCCCGGCCTCACGTGCGAAGCAGCCCGGCAGCGTCAGTCCGGGGGTGTCCCACAGAACAAGAGGGGGGTCGCGCGAGAGGGGGACCAGCCGCGGCGCGCGCGTTGTCCCGGGGGCTATCCCCACCCGTTCCGCCGTTCGCGAGCGTCGGGCGTTGTCGCCGTGGAACTCCGCTGCGTGCGCGAGCCGCAGGGCGTTGATCAGCGTTGACTTCCCCACATTTGGCATCCCCAGAACGAGCCCGACTCGCGCCCCGGTGCGGGAAGGCGGGGCCGCCACCGCCGTCTGCGCGAAGCCCTCGACGATCGCCGCGGCCTCGCGGCAGCCCCCTCGCGCGCTCGCGAAGGCGGCGGAAGCCCCACGGTCGGCGAAATGCCGCCGAAGCGCGTCGTTGGCGTCCGCGTTGGCGAGCTCGGCCTTGTTGAAGAGCACCAGCCGCGGTCGTGCGGGGGTCCCCGCGCGGAGGGCGGGGTTCGCCGTCGTGA